GGGAGGTGGGCACCGGGAGGCCTGGGGGGCCCACCAGGGGCTGGGGGCAGGAGAACTGTCTCTCGGACCTACATCTCTCACAAGGAAATGTGGAAATCAGACTCCTGAGCCCATGTTCCAAAAGCCTAAGAGGACTAGAGACTGGATTTGGGGGCTCTCATGCGGCTCTGGTACACGTGCCCTAGGAGGATACCTGGGCTCGGGGGTGACATCAACAGCGCTGCAGGCCGACTCCAGGGAGTGATCTGGGGCTGAGCTGAGGTGCTGGTAGCTGTAGCGTCCACCTTTATGCTCAGGGAGGGTCTGTGGATGCTCTGTACCCCCCTCCAAGTAGGTTTCCGGGAATCTAGGTTTCCCGGGTTCCAAATGGCACCCCACATCCCATGCCTGGAACTCAGTGAGACTAACTCACCTTCTCCCCTGCCCTACCCTCTGTCTCCAGCCAGAATCCAGGGGGCTGGTGGGGTGGAGGCTGCACCTGTTTACTGGGTATTTTTAGGACAGTTGATGAACACATAATACCCACCCTACAGTCAGAGAAAGACAATGCCTGCTATGTTAATCCTGGGGCTATTATCGTTGGTCATCTCCTGGGCCAGGATCCCAGGCTGAGACAGGACAAGCAGGATACTGAGCCCCCTTGGAGGCCAGCCAGAGGCCTCACAACCAGCAGGAGGTTAGGGAGCTCTACCATGCTGCCTGTTTGGTGGGAGAGAGAGCTGGTGGACAGGGGTGTCCTAAGGAGACACACCCACCGTGCCTACAGAGGGCTCAAAGACCCTGCCCTTTGGACACTGCCATTCTGGTGCCCAACGGAGGCTGCTCTAATTTGGTTCTGCTCAGGCCAGTTTGGGAACATCCCCATGCTGGAAGGCTGCCAGGGAGAAGGGACAGGGCGGGGTAAGTTGTAGGGCTTGGAGGCATAGGATTCTGGGTGGAGGGGCTGGGATGGACAGTAAGGACAGGCATCCACCCAGGAACAGCAGGAGGTCAGAGAAGGGGTGTGAAGGTTGGGATGAGTCTACTGGAGTTTACCGCATTGGCTTAACCATGTTTGTAATTTACATAAGAACTTTCTTACAGGGCGCCTGGGTGGCTCAGTTGGTTAAGCGGCTGCCTTCGGCTCAGGTCATGATCCCAGGGTCCTGGGATCGAGTCCCGCATCGGGCTCCCCGCTCTGCGGGGAGCCTGCTTCTCCCTCTCCCACTCCCCCTGCTTGTGTTCCCTCTCTCGCTGTGTCTCTCTCTGTCAAATAAATAAATAAATAAAATCTTTAAAAAAAAAAGAACTTTCTTACAAGAAGTTAAGATGCACCAAAATAAATGAATTATCTGCATGGATTATTCTGCTTTTTAGAAGGGAAAAAAGAAAAAAAACATTGACAAATGGAAGAACAAAAGAGGGTTGCAGGGACCACAACGAATCATGGACTCTGAGGGCCTTGGGGTGTTAGTCATGCTCAGTCCCCAATGGGACAGAGTGGGGCTGGCATCCCTCATCCCAGACCCCATCGACACCATCCCTCCACACCATGTGGTCCAACTCTCCATCCTCACATCCACCGCAACCTGTCAGCCTCTTTCCTGCTGTCTGCTCACAAGTGACCTTCAAAAATGAGGCTGTTTTGCCCTGTGGTCCTTGCACCTGCCCCAGTCTTCCTTCAAATGTGGACCACTCTGGAGGCAAAGGCCTCCGGGGTCTGCCTGCAAGGCTGGGGATCTCTGGCGGGAGGCTGCCCACACCCAGCTGAAGGGCCACCACTGGATGACATTGGCCCTGGGCCCCACTCTCTGCCCCAGCCGAGTGTGCTTCTGCAGCCTTTCTCCTGGCCTCCCCACTCACTGTCACCCTCCTTAAAGGTCACCCCCCGCTGGGTGCTTATCTGCCCACCTCCCATTCTGCCTGTGGAGCGGGGGACACTGTCCAGGGACCTCTGAGGCTGTGTCTCACACAGACACCCACCTGGCCAGGGGTGACCCCCAGACACAGAGCCAGAAACAGTCCTCATGGCCCTGTAAGACCCCCAGGCAGAACTCCCTGTGGTGGGCTGAATGATGGCCCCCCCCAAAGGGGCCCATGTCCTAATGAACAAAATGTGAGTATGTTACCTTATATGGCAAAAAGCACTTTGCAGATCTGATGAAATGAAAGAACTGGAGTTGAAGAATTATCCTGGATTATCCATGGGGGCCCAATCTAATCACATGGGTCCTTATCAGACTGAGGCATTAGGACCAGGGTCAGTAGTAGGACACCTGATAAAGGAAGAAAGATCAAAAAAGAGAGAAGATGCTATTGTGGGGCTGGCTTGGAAGACAGAGGACGTGACCTTGAGCCAAGGAATGCACGCAGCTTCTAAAAGCTGGAAAAGTCAAGGAAAGAGATTCTCCCCTCGGAGCCTCAAGAGGGAAGCAGGCCTGCCGACACCTTGTCTGTTAGGCCAGTGAGGCTGATTTTGGACTTCCGCCCCCCGGAACCGTAAGATAACAAACTTGTGTTCTTCCAAATCACTGGGGCTGTGGCAATTTGGTACAGCAGACATTAATATGCTCTGTAATGCCTTGGACATTCGCGAGCCCAGGACTTCACGGCTCAGGCCGTGCTCGGGGCCTGGGGGCGCTCAGGTCCAGTGTGCCCTGGGCCTGACAGCCCGGAGCAGACCCTCACGCATCCCTGGCCAGAATCCAGCCCACCAGGGCCTGGCCTTCCTGGAAGTCAGCTCTGAACTGACAGGATCACAGGACGTCAGAGCAGGAAAACCGTCCAGGGCAGTCACGTTGCCCTTGAGGACACAGAGGCCCAGAGAGAAGGGGCCACACGGTGAGTGGGCCAGGTCTCCTGACGGCCAGCCCGGCGCTCCGTCCCCTTGACTATACCCCAGTTCTCATCCTACCATCCCTCCTTTAACTCTCCTCTAACCCCGGCCTCGCCTTTAACCCTCACAGCTGCCAGAGGCCTGCAGGTGCCCTCAGCGTGCACTGGAAAGCGGCGCCCCACAGCTTCGTGGCCCCTGTGGCCCGGCCTGGCCTGCTCCGAGGTCCACGTGAGCGGAATCATCCCCACGCTGCACCTGGCGGCCCCAGCCCTAACCTACTAGAACCTTCATCTTCTGGCTCTCTATTCTCACATGTGAGGTTGCACTCGCCCTCTTGTGATCCATCCTGTGAACAACTTTATGTGAAATGCTCAGGCTGATCTTGTTCATACACCTCATCCGGCTTCATCTCCAACCCCGCCCCCCCGTACTGAGCCAGTGAATCGAGCTTTGGCCCTCCACGCCTGCCTTAGCCTGACCCTGCTGCAGGCCTTCTAGACTCTAACCCAATGTAAGGTCACCATGATTGACCCAGCTGCAGTGTCCTCTCTGAAACTCAGCTTCCTCATTCGGACACCGGCTTTAGGGTGCACCGTGGCCCGAGGGAGAGCCTGGCCTCCTTGGGGACGCCCCCTCCCTGGGGCAAAGCTGATGGCCTTCCCTTAGCGCCTTTTGAAGTTCAGGGAGAGTCTGAGGCGGACTTGACCAGGGCCCATGTGGTCTGTACCCTCTCAGCTCTCCCAAGACTTTCCAGCTCAATGGAAAACAGAAGAAAGATTGCTGGAGAAGGAACGAGAACCAGGACTCGCCAGATCCAGGGAGAAAGGGGCCAATCCAGGAAGAGGGAGTGATTCGGGGTAGGTGAGGTGAGGGGAGAAAACCTGGAGGGGTTTCCAGCCTCTGGTCCCATGGCTCCCAATGTCCCAGAGCTGGGGAGGCCACAGGGCAAGGAAGGAAGTGTCTGGCCAGAGGACCTAAGCCTTGTAAGGCCGTGGGTTGTGGAGTCAGGGCCCCATCCCCTCAGTGGCGACACCTGTCAGCCCGACCGCCCTGGCATTGTCTGGGAAGCAGAGGAGCCCAAATTAGCAAGTGACAAGGCTCAGCCTGCCTTCCAGGCAGCCCTGCCCCCACACGCCCTCCCCCACACCACTCGGGCCATCACCCCGGGGGCAGCCAGTCCCCTCCCGGCCTCCTCCCCCCAGCCCACCTTAAGCCCAGCAGTTGATCCAGGGCCAGTTTCCAGGAGCCGAGTTCTGAGAGGAGGCCGGGCTGTGGGCTGAGGAGGCCAGAGCAGAAGGAACAAAGAACCAAAAGTAATCACCCTTCACTTTGCTGCCACAACCAAGTGTCACCATTAATGCCTGTGGCATTTACACACGTGGCCCAGCCCAGGGAATCGACACACAGCTCACTAGCACTGCTCAATAGTGTAACCTCAGACCCTTAGCCCTTCCCAGGCTCTGCTCCACCTTCTGTAAAATGGGACAATAATGCTGCTTACCTCAGAGTGTGGCTGTGAGGCCCAAGCGAGGTAACGTGTCCGGAGGGCTTTGTGAACGTCTGGCACAAAGCAAATGCTTGACAAACGTTAGCTCGGAGGATATTCTCACTGAAGCCTCAAGGTAACACTCTGAGATAGGCCCCATCATCAACCCCGTTTTACCGATGAGGAAAGTGGGGGCTCAGAATGATGAAGCAACTCGCCCAAGACCCCACAGCAAGGAAGAGTCAGAGGTGAGACCAGCACCCAGGTCTCTGTGCTCCCGAGCCAGCCCTGCCCCTGTCGTCTGGCACAGCAAGCGCTCCGTGAACACGGGCCATGCGTGTCTTCGGGCAGCAGGATGCTTTCTGCCAGGAATCTGGAATGGACCAGCCTTGGGCCCCCAAAGCCCCATGTAATTCATTCCAACGTTAGAAACTGTAAGTGATGCTTTGATGAGCTGTTCTCTATCTACCTAATTGTAAGAGGTGCGGCAGTGTAGCAACAGATGGTATTAGCCTGTACTTTCTTTTTTTTTTTTTTTTAAGATTTTATTTATTTGACAGAGACAGACAGGGAGAGAGGGAACACAAGCAGGGGGAGTGGGAGAGGGAGAAGCAGGCTCTCCAATGAGCAGGGAGCCCGATGCGGGGCTCGATCCCAGGACCCTGGGACCATGACCTGAGCCGAAGGCAGACGCTCAACGACTGAGCCACCCGGGCGCCCCA